TCCAGCCAGTCCCACCTCAGCCACTGAGGAGTCCGGACCCTCAGGGTGAGCCCCTCCCAGAGGCCCCACCTCTGACTACTGCTGCGCCGGGGACCGTGCCTTCAACACATGAGCCTGGGACGCTCTCAGCCACCCCCGCAGGACCCCTCTCCCCCACAGCCTGGCTGCAGTCTTTGTGTGACAGGACTTTCTTGCAGGCTGTGGAGAGCTGGCTTCAGACACCCTCTGGACAGCTCCCTCCCTGGGTGCAGCCAGCTCTCACACAGCTCCAGCTCTTGCACATGGAGGGTAGGCGTCTGCAGGACACAGAGGGGCCGAGAGAGCCTGGAGGTCTGGGGAGGCTGCTGCACTTGAGGGCAGAAGCCTGGCTAGCACCAGGTCCAACCAGAGGGTGGACCAAGACTCGCAGGTAGCCTGCCACATGTAGGCCCACTGGCCTTTGTTCTTGAAAAGTAGGGTCGTGGCTTGGTTGTGACCAATCCCTCCAAGCCCTCCTCAAGTTAGCCAGGGGTGCTGTGCTTCTCCACAGACTCCAGTGCCCATGCTGAAGTCTCCACAGGTTCCAAACAGCAGCAGGCATCCCATCTGTGTGTCCTCAGGTCCTAGGGTCTTTGTGTCCTGCTCTCTTGAGGACCCTCTCCCAAATGCTGTTGCTCCCTGTCAGGCATAAACCTGGTCAGGGGCACTGATCCTGTCCCTTCCTGGCCAATGTGCCTCTTCTGCTGACCTCAGTGGCTAATCTCTGTCCTAGGCTCTCAGTTGACCTCAGGCTCCAGCTGGGGGAGGGAGCTGTGCCTTTTCACCTACCAGGAAATGGTCAGGGGAAGGCTGGAGTGTGGACTTGCCCCCAGTCTGTTCCCAGTCCACCACCATCTCCTGGGACTCCAGTCCAATTCCCCTTCCCTCTGTCCTTCCCTCTTTTTTTTTTTTTTTCTTTTTGATTTCCTTGTAGTTGTAGATGGACAGAATGCCTTTATTTGTTTATTTTTATGWGGTGCTGAGGATCGAACCCAGTGCCTCACGCATGCTAGGCAAGTGCTCTACCACTGAGCTACAGTCCTAGCCCTTGTCTTCAGTCTTGACCCATGGCTCTCCTGCTGCCCAGCCCATCAAGCCATGGGTCTGGACTGGACTCCCAGAAGCCAGATTCAACCTAGAGCTTTTGGTCACCGCWGTGTGGGGCTCTCCACCCTTGACCAGCCGGAGCTGGCATCGTCTTTTCCAGGAGGGGCACAGGAGTGCTCCATACGCTGTCTGATGAGAACTCAGCCTGTCCTTGAGGGACTCTGGAGGAGGGAGCAGTGTGACCTTAGAGAGAAGTATGTAGCAGGGCCTCTGTGTGTGCCTGTGTGTGTGTGTGTGTGTGTGTGTGTGTGCGTGTGTGTGTACTCACACTGAGACCTGGGGCTGCGGGAGGACCCTGCTGCCCCTGGTGTCAGCACCCCTAGGGATAGGGCTTTTGGGTGCTGTCCCCAGTTCTGACCATGTACACTCTGGGCAGCACCCTCAAGCCTGGGCTTGAGGGTCCCAGCAGATCTGTCACCCCCAAGTCATGCCATGGCTATCCTTGCTCATATGCCTCTTTAGGGCCTGGCAGAGACTGCCCCTGGGGGACCTCACCCCTCCACTGACTGCCCTGTCCTCCCAGGTCCACAGCAAGGACAAGAAGTACGTGTGCAAGGTGTGCAGCCGCGTGTTCATGTCTGCAGCCAGCGTGGGCATCAGGCACGGCTCCCGGCGCCACGGTGTGTGTGCCGACTGTGCTGGCCGGGGCGCAGCCGTGCAGTTGGACCATGGGGGCGGCGAAGGCTCCCCCGAGGCCCTGTTCACTGGTGATGGGCCCTACTTGGAAGACCCCGAGGACCCGCGAGGGGAGGGTGAGGAGGAGCTGGGGGAGGATGAGGACGACGACGTGGCAAAGTGGAAGGACGATGTAGGGCTGGCGCCCGAGGACACGCTGTTGGGGGACGACAAGGAGGACGAGGACTCACCACAGGGCCCCCGTAGCCCCACTGCAGGGCCTGAAAAGGACTTCGCCTGGATCTCCTAGGCCCTGCCCCGGTGGGCAGGGTCTGATGGTGGGGTGGTGGCTGCGTCGCTCCGTCCACCTGTGTGTGTGTCTTAGTGGGTCTCAACACCCGACGGCAGGGCAGTGCCCTTCTCAGCCCCTCCTCTGGTCCTCCCTGCATCCAGCCCCACTCCCACAGACACCGGCCATGGCCTGGCGGTCAAGGGAGAGCGCCTGCTCCTGCCTGTCCTGGGACGCCTGGAGTCCCCAGCAGGTGCCTGCAGGTGTGTGCCGAGTCTGGTCTGGGGCTTGCCTCCAGAGCATCAAAGGAGCCCTGGGTGGCTGGCCAGACCCTGGATGCATGATGGCCAGGCTGGCCAGGGGCATGAGTGCATCCTTGAGGCCGCAGGTCTGAGTCCATGTTGAGAGTTTTGCATACACCGAGCTGCATCCGTCCGCAGCACTGCTCAAGCCCTGCAGCCAGGTGGCTGCCTGTGACCCCGCAGTGGCCCTTGGCCCTCTTGGCTGCTGCCACACAGTGGCAGCCTGTAGAACCCAGGTCTGGTGCACAGAAAGCCCTGCGATCCTCTTACCTCTGGGCTTTGGTGCTTAACAAAGCAGCTGCAGATCCTCGAGATCCAGGGCTCCAGGTGCTCTCTCCGGTGGTCCCGGAGGCCGGGGCCTGAGGAGGCCGCAGGTCCTCCCATGCAGGACTCCTCAGTCAGGGAGGAGACCCTTGGCCAGGCTCCCCATCTCAGGCCCCAAACAGTTCTGCCATGAGGGCCTCAGCTCTGGGTGCACTTCCTTAGAGAGCCTGGGCCCCTTGTCCACCCTGGGCTTGCTCCAGGGCTCCTGCTGACCCCTCTTGGGACGGGCTGGAGCCGGACTCCTGCCATCGTTGCTGCTAACACTGGAGGTGGGTGTCCTTGCTGCAGTGTGCTGCTTCACCTCCCTGCCCGGGTGACCAAATGTTAAAGTAGTTGGAGACATCGTGARGTAGCTGCAGAGAATCCTTATTTTTTGCATTGTTTTTCGCACTTGGCAAAACTGCATAGGGTTGTTTTTCCCTTGGTTTGTGAAGTCCTCCTGCTGTGTTTTGAAGGAGCTTCCCATGTGTTCTCCTTTTTTCCTGAGTGAAAAGCAAAGGCCCCCATGGTGGGCATCTCTGTGCATCACCCAGCGTTGAGGTCCTGGAGGCAGGCTGCCAGACCCACCCAGAACAGACATGGCAGTCTGGGTCCCTCCTCTGGGCTGCTCCGACACCACCACTAAGACATTCCACCCTCTCCTCCTCCTCCTCCTCCTCCTCCTCCTCCTGTGCACCCTCTCAGGGTGAGGTGCAGGCAGGTTGACCACTCCCCACCCTAGGCCAGGGCTCCCTGGGAGCTGAGTGTGAGCACCAACTGAGAGAGAGTTTCTAGTTTCTCCTCCAGACTACAAGCCAGATGGCTGTTATCTTTTCACGGTCACATCTTCCTCAGTGGAAAAAGGAAAACCCCACAGAACTATGACTTAGGTCCCAGTGGTCACCTGGAGCACATCTCCTGAGAACATTCCCTAAGCGCAGCTGTCTGGCAGCTGCTGCCAAGGACACACAGGGTGGGCCCATGTGGGCGCAGGGACATGGTGCTGCCCTTGAGGGCCTGTGTACGGGGAGGAGTTGCAGTTCTCTCTCTTGTTTTTTCAAAGTAAAATCAGCCAGTTTCTACCAGTCACAAGAGGCTGCTCCCCCTGCTGCCATCCAGCCCTCCTGCGCATACATCCCTCCTTGGCAAAGCCATGAGCTCCTGAGCCAGTCCCTGGCAGAAGCTCAGACCCTCCTACACAGAGCCTGGGGACCTGGGCTTGTCACCCATTCTCCCACTGCCATGGCGGGGTCTGGGGTGCTCCCAGTGGGGCAGTGGGGCTGACCCCCTGATCAGGGAAGCTCCAGCTGAACTCCCAGCCCCCTTCAGGGCTCTCAGAACTTTGTACCTTTTCTCCCACTTTTTTAACACCTTTTCTATACACTGATTTTCTTACAAGTTGCATTTGGAAACCAGACCTTTGCTACCAGCCTCTGGGTTTTGTACCGGTCCTCCCTCTCAGGCCAAACTGCCCAGGGCCCCTGGCCCACCTCCCCCAGGCACCTCTGCCTGGCACTCAGGATGTCTTGCTCTCTGACTGGCTCCCGCTCTGGATGCCTTTGCTGGCCTAGGGGCATATCCTTGAAATGATACTGTACCCGAAAACCAAGGGTCCCCATCTGTCCACCATCTTCCCCGCCTGCTGTGTGGCAGGTCCGCTGTTCTCAGTTTGCTAGTTGGAGAGTGGAATTTCAAACCCAGATGAACACATCCATCTCAGGAGGCATGGAGGGAAAAGACGTATGTAATGAAGGTTTTTTTTTTTTTTTTTATGTGACTGATTTTTTTTTAATCAATGTTCAAACTAATAAATATTTTTTTATGAAGAGGAAAATAATGTGTAGATTACATTTCACATTTTGTATTTTTGTTGTTGTTGTTTGTGTCTGTTTATACCTTGGTGTTGGCAACACCAAAGTGGAAGATACAGTCCATGGTGGTGGGGGTATGTGAATAGGGAAACCATGATTTTTGTATGGAGCTCTGGATCCTGGCCAGGTTRTTTGGACTCTGGGTCTGGGCAATAGGATGCTGCCAGGACTCTCTAGGGCCTGACTCGGGACACAGCTATGCTTCCAACTTTGCACATCTTCCTTTTTAAGAGAGAAATCTGAGAAAATGCAAAACTGGAACTTTTTGCAATATTATGAAAGATAATCTTCGGCTCATTTTGTGACATGTGCAGCTCTTTAAGAAGCCATACTTTCTAGTGGTTGTCTTTTGTTTAGATTCTGTTGTTTTGTACGCGGCCCTTTTAGAACCACTTGTAGTGAGGGTGCTGTGTGTGTGCTTCCCTTAAATATTTATTTTTTTCGACATGCTTTCAACCTGTCATCAAAAACAGAAGAGACAAAAAAAAAAAAAAAAAAAAGGCAGTATTTGGAGACTGTTGATTTTTTTCTTGGGATGCTCTATCATATCGACTTTATATATTATTATAAACCTGTGTTTGTACTGGAGATGTATTTAATATTTGGGGAGGTTTTTTAGTCCATTGGTGGAAAATCACAGCTGCTGCCGCCTAGGTCTTGGTAGCCAGAGGCCAGGCCAGCAGCCAGCATCACCTTCTCTTCTCTACAGAGGGTCTGGAGTTTCTTGCTTGCCTCCAAAGGCTCCAGGCCTGCCTGTGGGGTTCCTTTCTGTGACGGGATTAGCATAGACATTCTTGCAAAGCGATTACTTTCAATAAATTGGGAAATTGCTGCTCCCAGCAGATGCCTCCTGTGTTTCAGATAGCCCCCTCCTCGGCCTCATCTTGGATACAGGGGGCTGGACTGGAGACCCCCAGCCCTGTGGCCTCCCCCCATCCCTGCCCACAAGGTCCTGGACCCATTCCTTCCCTCCAGGAGGCAGACTCAGCTTCTGGAAAAAAAACCCAATTTTTAATTTTTCTCCTCGCCTGGTGGCCCAGACGTGAGACACCTGAGCTTCAGAAACATGGAAAAAGTCAGCCCTGGCCCCTAAACCACTGCATTAGGTGTAAGTATGGGAGTCCCCTTCTCAACACCCCTCAAAGTGCCTCTTGGACCAAACCCTACAGCTGGCCTGCCAATATCCTTGGCCAGTCCTGGGCCAACAGGCAGGGGGGCAACAGTCCTGGGGCCAAGGGGACAGTGATGTTATTTGGCTTTAGTGCAAAAACGCTGGCTTCTTCAGAGGCACTTTGAATAGCAGGACCCCTTTCCCCACTGCTGGGGCCCAGGGTCACCATCTCCCCTACTGTCTCCTGCCTTAGGAAGTAGCCCCACAGCTAGAAGAGGCAAGGCCTGGTGATTGCCCAGGACAGGAGGCGGGACAGCAGGGCCAGTGGGCTCAGTCCAGGAACCGCTGACAAGCCTTCTTCCAGCGGCAGGCTGTGCACCACAGGTCCCGGTGATCCGTGCCGTACACCTTCCGGCACTTCTTGGCATCACCGCGAGGCTTCCTGGGGAGACAGGCGGGAGACGAGTGCTGTCAGCTGGGACCCTCCCCACCTGGCACCTGACTGGGCCCGCAACCCACACGCACCTCAAGCTGGCACCAAGCTTGGAGGGCAGGGCTGGTGCAGTGGCCCGGCCCTCAGTGGGCTGTGGGTCCACATGGACGGGTGCCAGGCAGCCCTGGGGGGAACTGCAACTTGGATTTCGCTCCTCTCCAGAGTGCCCTGAGACTTGTTCCCAGCTGCCACCTGTTGCCTCCCCAGCATGGTGGGCATGGTCACCGTGGCATGTCTTGGGAGGAGCTGCAGAGCTAAGCAAAGGGGGCAGGGGCAAGGGCAGGGCCAGGGGCCGCAGCAGGCTGGGCAGGTCCAGGTGGGGGAAGGCAGGCGGCACAGGGGCCTCAGGGGACGTTGGGGCCAGGTTGGACAGCCCATTGGTCAGCATGTCCACACCAATGTCCAGCTCAGTGTAGTAGAAGTCCTCCTCACCATCACTGTGCTCAGGCTCTGCCCGTCTCCTGCTGGGGACACAACAAGGGAGCTGAAGCGCTCGCCTGGCCTGGCCCCACCACCCGGCCCCCCGGCCCCCCGGCCCTGCCGCACCCCAGGTGCACCAGGCGGATGTGTCTCTGAATGGCGGAGGCTGTGCGCAGCACCTTCCCGCAGCTCTTCCACAGGCACTGGAACACCACCTGGACCGCGCTCTGGGCAACAGGGTGTGTGTCAGGAGCAGCACTCGAGTCCACCCGCCCTGGGCTCCCCCAGCTCACCTTCCGTTTCCTCTGAGTGGGCTCCCCAAACAGAAAGTGGGCTGCCTCAGGGGGCAGTGGGGGCGATGGTGTGGACGGGGAGGACTGGTCGCTGGCCTGGTCCCAGACGCAGTCTCCACTGTTGCTGCTGCTGCTGTAGCTGCCAGTGGGCTGAGTCAGGGCCTCCCTCCAGGGTTCCAAGTCAGGCTCTGCAGGAACATGCACCTCAGGACCTCTGGTGGGCTTGAGCTGCTCTGTGGGGAGCTGCTGCCTGCTGTCTGCCTAATGATCTGCAGTCCCTAACTCAGCTGCCACCTATTCAGGTGAGCTTGGTGGGCAGAGTCTTGGAGAAGATGTTGGTCACAGGGGCATGGGGAGACATCCCCCAGCACAGCAGAGAAAAGGGGGTGCCTGGCATGGTCAACAAAGTGGTGGTGGACAATCTGCAAAGGCCTGGCTTCAGTGAGAGGCACTGAAGATCCATATAACCACTTCAGAAAGAGAGCTGAAGTGTGGGTGGCAGGTCTGAGGACTCTGCTCGATCCCAGAAACTGGGTGGCTGTAGGGTCCTTGAGGACTCTGTCCCAGGCCCTGCCCCCACCTGAGCACAGACTTCTGAGACACACCTGGACTGAAGGATACAGCAGGGGCCCCCAGATAGAGGGGGCTAGTAGACAGGCTTGTAAGGGCTGCCGCGGCCAGGACCTCATCTAGCCGAGCTTTTCCTGGGGGGGATCTGAAGGAGACAGGGGCAAGATATGGGTGGGTGGGGCCCAACAAGTACTCTAGGTCCCTCCCCTGACCCAGCTACACTTTCAAGGCCTGGGCACATGTTCCAGCACCAGGCTGCCTCACTCCTGGCAGAGGAGGAGGTCTGGCTCCACCCCCAGCTCAGGTTGCAGAGCCCCAAATCACCAGGAACCACCGGGAACAGGGCTGGGGTCTCTCTGAGGCTGGTGTTCTCTACAGCCTGGGCTTTGTCCCCTGCACCCTCAGGATCTACAGGGCACCATGTCTCACTGGTGGGCTAGAACTGACCCCGACCCAGCCCCCATCACATATTAACCAGCGTTGTGCGTTGTGCAACAGCAGCTGTGGGCCCCGGGCCAGGCTTAGGAGGTGGGAGCAGCCAGCAGTCGGCAGCAGCCAGGAGGGAGAACGGGCTTCAAGCACAGGCCGGTCTTGGGCCTCAGCGGGATAGGACAGGGCCCGCCCCTGCTGCGCAGCCAGCCAGAAGTGTCTGGGCTCAGGAGTGGGGGAGTGGCAATAGGAGCCCCAGGGATTCCTGGACAGTAAGCCCCAAGCAAACTGCACAGCCTCTGCTGCAGAGAAACAGCCGCCCCTCCCAGTTCTGCGATGGGACCCCCAATGTAATTGGTCATGTATGTCCAACTCCTCCAGGGTTGGAGAGCTGGGGGAAGAGAACGCAGAAACCCAGTTCCAGACCCTGACCTATTCTCTACCGAGGGTTAGGGAGGGAAGGCAGAAATCCGTGCCCCACCCACTGCCTATGCACACACAGACGCACGTGTGCACACACCCACCTAGGGCACGAACCCCCCACCCCAGGGGCTCACCTCTGCGCTGGCACCGGGATGTGCACCGACGGTGTCGGGAGCCCAGCCGCCCCCGCCCACGTCCCCGGGGTCCCTAGGTCTGCAGCCAGCGGCTCCTGCGGCAGCGCGAACTCCAAGCCCGCAAAACCTCCGCCCATAGAAGGGCCCTGCAGACGGAAGAAACTCATAGAAGAGGCAGCCCAGGCCCACCAGCCTGCACCATGGATCCACTTGGCGCCCGCCCCCGCCCCACCCGCTGCGGCCGATGTGGATAGCATAGCCCCGCCTCCGGCCCCGCCTCGGCGCGGGCGACAGGGAGCGTCAACCGGCCGCACGGCCGGACCCACGGACATGCAGGGGCCGACGCGGCCACCCCTAGCTGCCACGCCCTCGGGGCCCAAAGTTTGCGCGGCCCCGACGCCATCTTTGCAGCCAGAGAAACTTTGTTGGCGCCCCCGCCCACTGGTACCTGTGGCGGCGCCGGCACCGTCACGGGCGCGGCGCGCGGGCCCGAGCCCTGCGCGCTCAGCCATGGCGCCTCGGCCCGTAGCGCACTGGGGTCCCKACCGCCGGCGCGGAGCTGGGGGCGCTCACAGCCCGGACCCGGACCTGGGGAGAGCTCGGCTTCCATGGCCGGCCGGCCGGCCGCCGAGGCTGCAGCGGCGAGGGCGGACTGTCGGGAGGCGGCCCCGGGCCGGGCCGGGCCGGGCTGGCGGGGCCGCCGACCCCCGCCCTGGATCCCGTGCGGCTCTCTTGGTGCCGCGCCGCCCCGAGGCCGCCCGGCCGACCACGCCCCCCGCCCCGGCGCGCGCGCCTATTGGCCGGCGGGCGTATCAACACTTGGTGGCCGGGGCTCGGCGCTCAGCCTCCGACTGGCCCGCGTTGGGATCTTGCCCGCCTCTAGCCCGCGCTCCCGCGCTGGCCAGGAGAGGTGGCCTCCCGGCGCCCGACGGACCCTAGCCTGGCCAGCTCCGGGCCGGCGCTCGAGCGCTCCGCCGCCTGGGAGGGCCGCTTCCCCACCGGTGTGTTGGAAGAGCTGCCAGAGACAGAGAGGGGCCCTGTCTCCTTGGAGCAGGTTATTCTTTAACGCAAACTGCCCACCTCCCCCGACTTATGTAACTCTAGGGGTTGGTGGCGGAGCCCAGGGTCCAAGTCCCACCCTGGCAGCCGCCCAGCAGGCTTCCCTGTCCCCAGGACTGGAAACCACAGCGAGACGGTTTGCCTTCCCCCTGCCCGCCAATGGCTTCGGAAACCAGAACAGCCTCAGGTACCAGAGCTTGGGCATCTGGGTGAGACCACCTGCAAGACCAAAAGGAGCCATGGATCCTTCCAGAAGTCCTCACCGCAACCCTCCCCGCTTTCAAGAACGGCAGGCTGCGAGGCATGCATGTCCATCCTTGTTTGATGGAACTTTATTAGGATGTAGGCCTTCTCTGGAGCAGGGAGAGGACATGTGGACGGTGGAAATAGAACCTCACAGGCTAGAAGCCTTGGGATCTGGGATTTGTGCTGTCAGCTGCAGGGGCAGAGCTCACTCTGGAGAAAGGAACATAGTAAATACTGGGTGTTCAGGGGTCTCCAAACCCTCCCGAGGCAGAAACGGGGGCCTGGCACCTGCACATATCCACTGTGTTACCAGGTAGACAGGAGGGGTGACTCCTGCTCAGGGCCCCATCTCCTGGATGCTCTCATACACATTTTCCAGGGGCCTGCTGTCCATGCTCAGGTCCCTGAGGGGGAGGGTCTCACAGGTCAAGTCATTCCTTGGGGCCAGAATCGATCCCCCACCCTTGAGGTCTGGCTGGTTTTTGATGAGTCCTGGGTCCCTGCTTTCAGACTTGCAGACCCTGGAGTACAGGATGTCCACCTGGAGAGAGGAGGGACCCAAGGAACGGTAAACACCAGCCTCTCTGCCAAGAATCTGCCAGCCCCACCTGCTGTGCACAGCCCAGGCCCACTTTACCTGAGCAGTTGGGATCCTCTCAGCAGTCCCCTGCTGCAGTTCTTGGGGACCCTGACCTGTCCCCTTGAGCTTCTGGATGCAGGCATATTCAGCCACCAGAGGTCTGGCCCCAGGCCCAGGCCTGGCACAGCCGATGGTCAGCCGTGTCCCTGCCCACACCACAGGGCTCGAAGCCAGACTGGCTCTGGGGATTGCAGCCAGCCCTATGTTGGAATAAGTGTCCTCAGGGCCAATGAAGGGTGAAGGGGAGACAGGAGAGGCCTTAGGCAACTGCTGTGGTGGGAAGATGGAGGGGGCTGCCTGTGGCCTGGTGCTGCTCCTGGGCACTTCCAGCCAGTGTGGGCGCAGGAGATCCATGCTGGCAGGCCGTGGGGCTAGGGGTGGGGTTAGAGTACAGGTCACTTAGGGGTGGGGAGCAGGCCTGGCCCCAGAACTGGGGAGACACCCTATGGCCAGACCCACCCCATTAACCCTCCTGGAGGCTCACGATGCTGCTGTGTGGGCCGCGGTGCAGCTCCTGCAGCCTGGTGCCGGACCTGCTGAGGGAGCAGAAGCGAGTCTGTCTCAGCACTGACTGAGGGCAAAGGTCTGGAAGGGACCCTGTGGCCCCACCCTGGCCCCACCCTGGCCTGGCACTCACCACTTGCACTGGCATCATGCTGCCCTGCAGCCTGGCCCGATGCCTCGGCACCCGTGTCCTGGGGGCAAGAGCATCATTAGGCCAGGGGCCACAGTAGGTACAAGGGTGGTCAGCAGCTGATGCAAGACCAATGTAGAGGTTCTCACAGAGCCTCTGCACGGGCTTGCCTCTAACTCCTGTCTGCACAAGGAGGTGGTGAGGGCCCACAAGGAACCCAGCACAACAGACATACCTGTGGCAGGCTGTGCACAGCACCCACAGCCAGAGGAGCAGGGAGAAGCACCCTAGGACCCAGAGGGTGGGCAGGGCCAAGGGCACTGGTTGCCCCATCCTGTGAGGCAGGGGCCTGGGGGCAGAAGAGAGGGGCACTGGGGCTGGCTTGAGGATGGGGCACACAAATGGCAGCCCCACTTGTGCCCCTCCCTCTGTGGGTGGGCTCCTCCCCCTGTTCTGACTCAGCATACCGGAAACACCTGACCTTACACAGGGGCACCCACCCTTCCACCTCTAGCTTGGAACTCCTGGTGAAAAGAAGTACTCTGCCTGCACTTTCACCATAATTGCAGGTGGTCATGGTGATGGCAGAGCATGGCTAGGGCAATTGTAACCTGGCCATGATCATGCTGTGGTCACTGCAGCCCAAACCCATGACCTGGGGGAAGTCCCTGCAGTTACACCCCTGGGCCTATGAGCCACAGGCCACAGACCTCGCCTACCCACCCTGCCCAGCTGTGGCCCCCTTGTCTTAGGTGATGCCCCTAAGCCATCTCAGTAGAGAGCTTGGACCTTGAAGTGGAGTAGGAGAAGAGGCAGAAGAGGCCAGCTTCAGGCACTGAAATGTCCTCCCACCGCTCTGGCTCTCCTCCCCCTGGTCTCTGCCACCAATGCTGGATTGATGTCAGCAGAGTTGCCTGGGAAATGGGTGGTGGGTGACAGGTGGGCCCACCAACTATCTGTAAGAGTTAGGGGAGATTCAAGGGGTAATCCTGAAGGTTGAGGCCAGTCTACCCAGACTCAGCAGCGGGCTTCTTGCACGGGCATGTGGGAGGGCCCAGTCTGATTAACTAGAACACAGCCAGTTCCCAATGCTTTGAGCAGGCCAGTCCAAGCCCTCCCAAATGCAAGGAGCGCCCCTGAGGGGCTTGGGGAATTGCCCATGCTGGAGGGCAGAGCAGGCACTTACCAAGGCCACCACGCGGCTCCTCCACGGCCCTGTCTGGGGCAGCCAGGAAGGTCTTTGTGGGCCTGGTAGAGCTCCCCACCTCACTTCCTGTCGCTGCCTCAGAGCACCTCCCCAGCAGCCCTCAGCCCTGAGCTGCAGCTGCTGCCGCACCAGGAGTCACCCACCTGCTAGGGCCCCTCCCTTGGTCTAGTCGTGACTCAGTGTGCTACCCTGGGCGCTGGGTGGCCATCCCTATATTCTGAGAGCCCAGCTTTGCACCCTACCACACCCACTGAAGTGAACACTCGCCAACAAGAAGTGGGGAGAGTAGATCAGCTAGACAATCAGTGGCCACCAAATTTGCACTGACCAAACCCACTTGACCAGGACCACCTAACAGTGCTCCTGAGGGCCAACTCCACCCAGTGAAGTAAGCACAGGGCACCAAAGGACACCCAGGGTTTTTACCCACCTCAATCAGAAAAGAGAAGGGAGAAGGCCACTCTCCTGGGCCCTCTGACCCTGGCATGGGCTGTGGCCTCATTCAGGACCCCTGAAGCCCAGCCCGTGAGTTGCCATGAACCTGTGCAGACCCCTCTCTCCCCAGAGACCCCGTAGCCAGCTGAGTCTCCACTGATACTGTGACGAAATCATTTTAATGTCCTTGCTAAGGATACGCCCCAAGACACTGGCAGGTGGGCTCTGCAGGCAAGTAAGTGTCCAGAAGTGACTGACCCTCCAGAAGGACATCTTCACTTGGCAGTGTCCAAATACTCCAGGCTGGTGAGGCTGTTACGAATCCTAGAAGTGGGCTGTCCCCTCTTGAGAGGTATCTTAGGTGTCAGAGTGACAGCTGGTTTTCCAGCCAAGGCAGCCGGAGTTGGGGTCCCAAGACCCATCCACAGTGCATTCGAGGCCTCTAGAACTCTGTCATCTTCCTGTGGGTGTCTGCCTTCCGCTGTTCCCGCTGCAGGCCTGCCTCCTGAGCTCGGAGCTGCCCCAGCTGCCGCTGGGCTCCTGCCAGCTTCTCTTCCAGCTGGGCTGCTGCTACGCTGTGCCTAGGAACGGCCTGCTCGTCAGCATAGCTTCCTGGCCCATTGACACCACTGCTGTTGTGGACACTGCCCGACCTCTTACATCTAGCTTTCTTCAAACTCAGCAGGCACCCTCAGGTCAGGTGACCTCCCACATATGTCCTATAGGGATGGCCACCCAGCGCCCAGGGCCCCACACGTACCGGCCAGCATTCCGGGTGAGGGCCTCCTGGATGCCCTGGATGTCCCGCTGGGTACGCACAATCTTCTCCTCAGTCTGGAAGAGCCGTAGGCTCAGGGCCTGCTTGGCGCTCTTGCTGGCATGGTACATGTCCTGGCTCCTCCTTCCTGGGGGGCCTGCCCCAGCCTCCAGGGCCCCAGGAGCCTGGCTCTGCAGCTTTTCATTCAGGAAGTCAAACACGTTCCGAGGGGGTGGTCGGCCCCCAGGCCCACCCCCACTCCCCTGGCACCTTGGGGGCCTGTTGGCACCAGCATGGCCCCGCTTGGTCCTCTTTTGCAGGATCTCTGCACACTGGTCCAGCGACTTCCCTCGAGGCAACACCACAGCATGAATAGGCTCCACCCGGCCTTCAGCATGTCTGCCTAAGCCTGTGAAGAAGTAGGGCTGGTGCTGCAGCTACTGACCCTCAGCTGCTCTCCAGCACCCTTYCCCCCAGGTAGCACACACTCACCCTTGCCAAACTCATAGCCCATCTTGGCGAGGAGTCTGGAGCCAATGCCACGTGTGTGTACTTCCCAGCCAGCAAAGGCAGAGCTGCAGGTCCCAGTGTCTGCAGTGCCTGATTCCACCACTGCAAGAGACAGAGGGCAATGGCTCAGCTAGGCCAGAGGTGAGTGGTGACCTGTGCTCTGGCCCGTGTTCCCCAAGAGTTCAGCTCCCAAGCAGGATACCCATCTCTTGCCAGGACTCACAAACCTGCTGTGGGTGTTCCTGGCACCTTAAGCAGGTAAGTTGACTGTACTGCAGCCTATCACTGGTTGCTGAGGATAGGGGTTCAGAAATCACCAATTCATGCCATAGGTTCCCAGRGACACCTCCCTGTCATCATCCTCCCCAACCCCTCAAGAGACTTGAACATTGCCTACCAGCTCCCTTTCCGGACACCTCCACCCAACGTATCTGGACACACACCCTCTATCTGCCAGGTTTCCTTCCACCCCCACCCACCAGGCAACAGGTCCTCAGCCTCGAAAAGCATTTGACAGAGCCACCCCTTCCTGTCCATCACGTCTACCCATCACTCCCTGTTGTCTCTTTAGCAGCTCCAGCCCCAACAGTCCTTCCTCTCCCACAGCAAGGCCAAGACCTTGCATCTCAGAGCTTGTAACTGTTGCACATGCTCCTCAAAGCCAAAGGCCAGGTCTCTGGCCCTACCCCAGGACCTCTGCTGTAGTTACCCAGGCTGAGCTGATCTCACTTTGGCCACTGACACAGTTGTCCCCTTAGCAGGGTGCTTCTCAGGGAGAAAGCTGCCAACCTTGCTCCAGACCCCCACCATCCTGGCTCTGGGCACCACACTGCCGTTGTACCTCTGGCATAGCTTGAGTCAACCGCATCACCACTGTCTGAGTCTGATGACTCTGCAGCCTCCGTGCGCAGCGGGGGCAGAATGCTATCTCCCTCCACCACAGCCTCTTTCAGCAGCAGTGAGTCAAACTTGACTGTATAGTAGCCATTATCTACATCTGAGGAGACAAACATGGGCTGCAGGTCAACAGCTGTCATGAGCAGGCCACAGTAAGGAGCAACAAAGGAAGGGGGAAGTGAGGCAGAACTGAGGCCAGGCCAGACTTGCTCCTCTTGGGCCCAGTTGGGTCTCAATGTCCAAAGAGATAGGAAGTGGCCACAGGAAGCAGAGAAAAGACTTTTAAAGAAGGGCTTTATTCAGAAGCACCCTATCAGGGAAGTCCCCACACCAGCCTCACCAAGGATCCGTGCTGGGTGCCAGAGGCCATCCTGGTGCTTGGCCAGACACGTAGAGCCAGCCTGCAGCAAGCTCAGGTCTGGGTCCTGGAAGGGGCGCAGCTCATCCACAGAGACCACCTGCCCATGGGAGAACCTGCAGAAGGCCACAGGAGGCAAGGCTCAGGCATGGCCTATGAGGGCAAACAAGCCCAGGAACACCAAGGTCATCTGCCTGGTGCCCAGAAGGGAGAAACAGGGAGATAAACACACCAAAAAGAATATACTTTTTTTCCATCTCTCTCACATACGTTTTTTTAATTTTTTAAGTTGTAGATGGACAGCGTGACTTTATTTTATTTATTTTTTATGTGTTGCTAAGGATCAAACCCAGTGCCTCACACATGCTAGGCAAGGGTTCTGCCACTGAGCTACAGCCCCAGCCCTCTCTCATATACTTTTTTAATATTTTTTTTCTAGTTGTAGATGAACACAATACCTTTATTTTATTTAATTATTCTAATGTGGTGCTGAGGATTTAACCCAGGGCCTCGCACGTGCTAAGCGAATGCTCTACCACTGAGCCCCAKCCCCAGCCTTCTCATACACTTTTGCATGTGCATATACATACACACTTTCCCACAGGCAAACACAGACTTTCACTCATGCACACACACATAAACACACACATGCATAAACATATACACTCATACTCACAGACATACCTACATATACATGTACAGGTGCCCATAAATATACAAGCATACATATATATTCCCATGTATCCATATACATAAACTCACACACTATATTTACACGCGAATAAACACACACACGCACAAATAATATACTCATACACACTAAATATGCACACTTGAAGTCTCTCAGGATGCGCTTGGCTACTCTGAGGAGCAGATTCCTGGTATTGTTTCCAGCTTGCTAGGCTAGGGTGACAATGTGGCAGAGGGCTTGTGACTTTGGCTCACCATCATCTCCAGTTATGAAGTTCCAGACCCAATAAGTACTCATAGCAAACATGGTATAGGGTGGACGGGGTGCATGCATGTCCTGGACCCAAACCCACTAGGACAGCCTAGTCATAAGTAGCAGTGCTGAGACTCATAAATGTATATGTATATGTATATATGTGTATATATATATATATATATATATATATATATATATATGTGTGTGTATATATATATATATGTATATATATATATATGTATTATATATACATTTAAGTACTGGAGATTGAACCCAGGCGTACTTTACCACAGAGCTATATCCCCAGCCCTTTTTATTTTTTTCCAGTTCTTCTTATTATTTTTTGTTTTGAGACAGAGTCTCATTAAGTTGCCCTTGGGCTTGCAATCCTCCTGCCTCAGCCTCCCAACTTGCTGGGATTACAAACCTATTCCACCACATTCAGCAGTATTGCAACTTTTAGATATCAGTACACCAGTAAAATTAAAATCAAAACCAAAACCAAGTTAGAGAAGAGAATGAAGAGGAAATGTGGGGACAGACACAAGACTGCAAACTTGAACCTGCCAAATAAAGACATGAAAAAGCTAACCACCAGCCACCACTGCATGTCATCATTTCATACAGGAAACTGTTAACCCCACAGGAGCAGCTGAGGGCTGGCATTCACGTCAAAACAGAGCCAGGGTTGTCTTCCTAGGCAGGAATCTGTGGGTGGGAAGGAGGGAGATGGACAGGCAGTCTCAGTAAGCTCCCCAAGTTGCACAGTGGTGGTCTGGGGTGCTGCTTCTCACCCCTGGCTATCCTGGTAAATAGGGCATTGCCACTGAGCAAACAATACCAGCAGCTGTGACACAGCTGCAAGAGCACTGTAGTGGAGGTACTGGCAGAAAAGTCTCACTCAACCAAGGACTAAAGGGATGCACTCGAAGCAACTCCTCGCCAGGTGAGTTCGGCACACATTCCCAATGTTTGACCATCAGTCAAACCTTTTTGGAGGATCCTTTATCACTAGTAGAGGCCTTAAAATTTGGCACAGATTGAGTGCTCCTTATCCAAAATGCTTAGGACCAGAAGTGTTTTAGACTTAGATTTTTTAAAATTTTGGAACATTTACAAAGACATAATGCGATATCTTGGGGGTAGAATCAAGTTAAACACGAAATTCATTTGTTTCAGATAAACCTTATACACACAGTTTAAAGTAATCCTACACAGTATTTTCAGTGTGGCTGATTTTGAACTGCTACCTGTTCACATGAGGTCAGGTGTGGAATTTTCTACTTGTGGCATCATGTCCACACTCAAAATGTTTGGGATTTTGGAACACTTCAGATTTTGAATTTTCAGATCAGGGATGCTCAATCAAACAAGTGCTTTTATGAAAGGATTTCCAAGAATATGAAAAACCTAGAAATAATCTAAAAATTTGAAGCTCGGGGAATAGTTATGGTATGTCCATGAGGCAAAAAATAAGAGATGGACAAACTGACCTGTGGAACAAAGGAGAGCAGCAAGAGCCCCATGCACATAGGAAACCTCACAACTGAGGAGTACCGCAAACATGCTAGGGAAGGATGAACTCTGGATTCAA